AGCCTCTTCTTTTTGGTTGGGTTTGTTCTTCCTGGAGTGTGTACTTCGGGTTGGTGGGCTAGGAGCAGTACTGATCATGGTGGATTTAGTTTTGCTTCTGTGCTTGCGTTTGCTGTGGGCTTAAAGGAGTTATTTGATCTGTTCCTCCGAATTTGTTTTGTGGTTATCAGATACTGAATTTTGGTATAAAACTTAAGAAAATGTATGGCTTAAAACATCTTTCACAATACTTCTTTTTTCCTTAAGGCTGTTTGTATGTATGCATGCACGTAAGCATTTGTTACAGTGGGTTTTGTGCAAAATTATTCCACAACATTCAGTTAAATGTACTTTTTGTCCTAAGTTTGACCTTGTTACTTTGGTCTTGATGAGTATTTTGCTGATATCACTGATCCTTTCAAGGATTCGGTTTCCTGTTTTGAGAGACTAGCAGGATCATCTCTGAGGTGGAGAAGGTGTGCTATATATCCAGGGCTCGGTGCCTCAAGCCCTCAGGTGACCGTGTTGGCTTACACTCCAGACCTGTGTCTGTTTCAGGTCGCCTTGGTATCTCCCCTGCCTAAAGATCCTTGTAAAATAAATGATCAGAAATACCGGTTTCATTTTTTGAAATCTGTATTCCATTTCTCCAGAGAGAAGCAACGTGGTCTATATTTACATATTTCTGTTTCTGACTACATATCCATATCTGAGGAAGTTCACTATAAGGAGTTGGCTCAGTCGATTATGGAGACTTACAAGTTCAAAATTTGCAGAGCTGCTGTCTCGATTGGAGTCCAAAGGCCATCAGGCTGGAAGAGCCAGTGTTCGAGTTGAAAACCCATCAGGCTGGAGGATTCTCTTACTTGGGGGAGGGTGGTCTTTTGTTCTCTTCAGCCCTTCCACGGATTGGATGAGGCCAGCCACTCAGGCTACTGATCTAAATGTTAATCTCATCCAAAACACCCTCAGAGACACACCCGGAACAGTAATTGACCAAATATCTGAGCACCCTGGGGCCCCTTGAAGTTGCCATGTGAAATTCACCACCACAGGCCCACCCTCTGTCAACTTGATACCCATACTCCTCTCCTGAAGTTACTACACTTAATCTCCAAATAAAGATAATAGCGCAGTTATAATTTTCCCTAACATGAGAATAGCTATCCTGTATATGCCTGAAAATGCACTAACATTTCTCCCTGATGGGGAGGTGAGGTCCTGAAATACTGTGATAAAAAGTGTATGTCTTAGGTTACATGGTAAGGGGATAAGAGAGGCGGAGAACAAGATGTTTAACGTATTAAAACGTGTTCACAAAACTCTATAACAAAATAAGAAGGGGGTACTCATGGAGTACCTTCTTTAAGGAGTCAGGTGTGGTCGCAGCTGATGTTTGTTAAGTATGGTGGGCCCTTGAATAAACAGGTCTGAACTACGCGGCTCCACTTTTGTAGGGTTTTTTTTTTTTTTTTTTGGATTACAGTATTGTAAATGTATTTTATGATTTTCTTAATATTTGGTATTCTCTAGCTTACATTATTGAAAGAATACAGAATATAATACCTACAACATAGAAAGTATGTGAATCACCTGTGTTCTAGGTGAGGCTTCCTGTCAACTGTAGGTTATGAGCAGTTAAGCATTTGGAGAGTCAGAAGTTAAACTCAGATTTGTGACTGTGTGAGGGGTCAGGGCCTCTAAGCCCGCATTGTTCAGGGGTCTGTTCCTCCTGCGCACGCTCCCCATTTCCTCAGCCTTGAGCAGACACCTCAGCTGGCTGTGGTTTGTATGCCCACTGGGCTGAAAGTAAAACCGTACTTGGTAGCATGTTTGGCTATGTTACATTGTCTTACTACAATTTTATTTCTAAAATACAAATAAAATATTCATCATTTTTATATCTCAAAAATGATGCATACTCAAGAATTTGGGAAATATAAATGAGGTAAAGGGGTAATCAACATTTGTCTTGCTACCAATTAAAAATCCACTGTTAATATTTTTCACCTATAGTAGTTGTAATGTGTTACCTAAATGTTCTCTTCTGCCTTTTTCTAAAGCCTAAACTTAATGCTCATTTAAAATGTGCATTTAAAATGCTATTTACCTCCTCCTCTTTTGGAAAGTTTGGTTATTTTCAATTTTCAGTATATAATTCTTTGAATTCTTTTTAGTGCAGTGTAGTATTTCCATGTTTGAGATGAGTGATTTCCCTGAAGTAGAAATGCTGGGTTGAAGAGTTTTTAAAAATTGATTGTATTTAGTTTGGGGCTTGAAGATTTTGAAAGGTCACGGTACACAGTCTTTAACTGCTTTTTGAAAGGGTACAAACCAGCAATAGCCAGTGATAAGCTCTTAATAAAGATTTGTCTAATTTTACAGTGGCTGCTTTTAACAGCATAAGCATATTAAAAAAAGAAAGTGTTTGTGTCACCATGACTGATGTAACTGAGACTTCTCATTTTCAGGGTTAAACCTTTATAACTTTAATTTTGAAATTACATAACGTAAAATTCAGTGAGTAAAATGACTACCCGAGTTGTAGAAAAGCATTTAGGCTGTGCAATATCAACAACAACAAAAATAAACAAGATAAAGGAGTTTTTAGAAAAATACCAGAAAATATAAACTGAAAATCCACTGGCCTTACTCCTACTTCTAAACCAGCTTTCGAAGTAGCTTCTGAAGAATGGAATTGTATAATTATGCAAGTCTTCATTTAGCCTAGAGTGTGAGCATTTGAGCCCGTGTGTCTGATGGTGGTACCATAAGGCCCCTGGATCTCGCTCTCAAGAGAACAGCGCTAAGGATTTGATTGCCGTGTGAACCTCAAGAAGTTAATAAGTACGTTAGAAGAACAAACACGGTAGGATTCAGTGTAAATGAAGTCTCAGGTGCAGAACAACATGGTTTTAGGGATTCCTGAAAGCGTAAAGCAGGCCATGTAAATTCTTTTTGATGTTAACTTCTTAGGGGAGAGTCAGAAGTTGCACAGTAAATTTAAATTGCATTTGTAATGTTTGTTTCTTCACGTGAGTGGTGGACATCAGGGTGGCTCTGACAAAATTTGGTGTCACCGGTGTGTAGGCTGTGGTTTTATTTGAATAGGGTGAGTCTCTGGAGAAATTCAAGTGTTAACTAGCTTTAGATAAGATGAACTTCCATTTATACTTCTGTTACAATGGACTGTAAGCCCAGCCCCATTTACAAAGTAGTAGGTCATAAATGATTTTCCTAGGAATTATTTTGTGAAGGGCAGCATTTGCTGTGGAATGTTGGCATGAAGTTGCAACACCAGCAGGCTGGGGGTTGACTTGCCAGCAGTTAGCAGTTCTAACCCAGTACCCTCTGTGACCCTTGGATTGGCTCCTCTGGGTCCAGTGGGGCCATGTCTGCACACTGGGATTGCACGTAGGCCTTCCTCCTTCCTCTGGCACCTTCTCCTTTCTAAAGCGCTTTCAGGAGGGCACCAGTAACCAGTGACTCTGAATGTGTCCTTCAGGCCCATCTTCCTGCACGTAGCATTAGATAAAGCAGACCAGCCGATTTTCGCTGAGAACAGCTCAAAGAGGCCAAGACTGTGCCCGCGCTCTTTACTTGGCCCTATTTTGAGCTTCTTAGCCTTGCCTAGCCGTCTGCTCTCAACTCGCGGGTCCTCCGTGTGTCTCTGCGGATCATGGCAGAGTTCACCACGAAGGTCACGTGTGTCTGTGCCCTTGAGTTGTGTCGTGAACTCCCCTGCTTTGGTCAATCTTGCCCGGTCGTACCGAATACACCATCCTGGTTCTGTAGTTTGTTTCTCTGGCATGCATTTTTTTCTTACCATTCATCAGGATTCCTTGAGCTTCTCTATTTCCCTGGGGAAAAAAAATAACACTGATTAATTCACAGAACCGCAGTGTATTTTTAAAAAGTTTGTATGATTCCTATGTTTTTAGTAAGTGCCCCATTGACTGATAACAAAATATCAGGGCTAATCTTATTTTTATTTTCAGGAGCATTTGGTATGTCTAATAGGAATACTATGGCTATCTGTGTCAGTAATTTTCTGTTAAAATAGAGCATGTTAATGTCTGCCAATTAACATTTATTCAGATTTGACTTTGACTAATCCTTTCTAATTTTTTTTTGCTAATAGAAAAGTAAAGGGAATTCTTAAATCCTATGGCCCAGGATCAACAGCTATTAAATTTTGCCTCACTCGTTACACCATTCTCTATGTGTTATGCAAATAAATGTTAGAATAATCCATTTTTGTTTTTATTTCGTAATTACATTGGGGAAGGTAGCCCAGGTTCCCTGGAGTACAGTTACCTGAGTGTGAAGCCCCCTTAATCTTTCCAGTGGTGGCAGCAGGGACAGTGCCTGCTACTTGGACTCAGAGGCCATATTAAAACAGCTCTCTAAGAGCTCCTGGGTGGCTAGTCAGGTAAGTGACTGCCATCAGCTCCGGTCCTGATGCTGGGCTCCCTGCTCAGCGAGGAGTGTGCCGCTCCCTTTGCCCCTCCTGCCACTCAATGCACGCGGGCACACTCACTCTCAAATAAAAGAACTCCCTATGAGACTCTTAACTCCAGGGAACAAACTGAAGGTTGCTGGGGAGGGGGGTGTGGAGGATGGGGTAACAGGGTGACGGGATGTGATGAGCACTGGGTGTTATACGAAAGTGATGAGTTGCTAAATTCTGCCTCTGAAACTAATAGTACACTGTATATGTGCTAACTTGAATTTAAATAAGATCTTGACAGGAAAAAAAAAAAAAAAACAACCCCGGCTCCCTGTCTGAGTTTGAAGCACACATGAGTGATCTTGAATTTTATATTTGTTACATAGAATGATTGTGTCAGCAGTCTGGTTATTTATTCCTTAGTGTATTCTAGCTGTAGTTGAATTAGACGAGTAAGTTAAGTTGCTGATCATTAGATGAACTTTGGTTGCTCTGTAGATAAGCTTTGTTAAAACTTCTTGATAAGTTTTTTCTTCTGATGGAATAGTGTGTTATAAGGTGTTAACATGTTTTCCCTTTATCGCAGCTCTCCCATGAAAAAATAAGCTCGAATAAAGACTTTACAAACTGCATCTGTTTGTTTTTAGAAGACCCATTTGAGGACTTTTTTGGGAGTCGAAGAGGCACCCGTGGAAGCAGGAACCGAGGCACAGGGTCGTTTTTCTCTGCCTTCAGTGGATTTCCGTCTTTTGGAGGAGGGTTTTCTTCTTTTGATACAGGTATTAAATCCTTAGATTTAATGTCCAATCTGTGAACAGACATCAATGCCGATCAGCAGTTTCAGTTAGCACTTTGAAGAGTGTATATTCCTTTGGGTTAGAATAGCTTTGTAGATTTGCCAGTAGTTTCATGTGTGGAAAATCTGTACTTAGTAACCTATGTTTTCCCCCCTAATCTTCCCAAGACTGTTTTACTTGAAAATCCATTTCTAATCTTACTATTAAAGGTCAGCATTTAATGAAATTATTGGTTAAAAGGAGTTACTTGATTTGGGGTAAATAATTGTGAAAAAACCCACTTGTAGACGATCTCCCTGAATCCTTCTTTGTCAGACCTCCTTGGCAGCTTTAAAAAAAAAAAACAGTAGATAGTATTCTAGGAGGGTCCAGGTTGATGGGATCGGAAGGTGGGGTGGAACACTGTGTGCGAGTGCCCGTGGCCACGCAGAGTGCACGAGGGGGTGCGATCGTGTGTGACTGCCCTGCCCCACAGCAGTCAGTGGGCTGTGTAAAAGCAGCTCATCTGGGTCCTGATCCTCCGGGTGTGAGTTTGAGCCCCATGTTGGGTGTAGAGATTACGTTAAAAAAAATGTGCAAAAGGAGGGGGGCAGTTCATTAACCAGAGTATTATGCATGTGGCATGATATAATTACGTATTTTACCTGAAGAATTAGGGTCTTTTCTTGGAAGTTCATATAGTTCCTCTTAACAGAGGAGCTCTTGTTTTTTTTTCTGATTCTCTGATTATTTCAAATGCTACGTGGTAGGAATTGGCGGTTCTTGTTATGAAGGCTGCCCGCGGCATACAGCTCCGCGTTCTTCCCTTGGAGTACTGTGCTAGCGCCGTGGAGGGAAACGGTGGGTTTGCTGACCCTTGGCTGCAGAGGGCGACTGCAGACGGCCTGTCTACAGCAGCCCGTCGTTAGGGACTGCACAGTATGCTGCAGGAGAATTGCTCAGGCCTAAGGGAGAGTCAAAGAAAGCTGATTTAATACATCAACAAAATAGTACTTCATTTAAGAAATGGTGGCTAATGTGTTGGGAGGGGGTGTGTGGATGCAGACCTTACTTCTAGGAGCCTTGTAAAGCGTCATGTTTAGGGCGTATGGAGATTTGTTCTAATGTGAATATTTTCAAAGTGGGACGAGTAGTAATAAGCTCTTGAAACAAGCAAACCAGTCCCAGTATCAAAGGTTGCTTTGCTTTCGTGTAACTTGTGGAAATCAGGGATTTTAGTGGCTGGAGTGTGATGGCCGTAATTGAGAATGTTGTCCGCAAGTGAATTAGGCAGATTCATACTTTTTCAGTAAGTGTTTGCAGTATTCTTTCTAAAATTCTTGAGCTTTTTAATAATTCAGAGTGTCACCCCTTCGTGGTCACATTGCAAGGAGAAGGTAAGCAGGTTGGGTTCGGCGTTCTGTGCCGGTGAACGTTCTGCTCCTGCCGCACGGCGATGCCCATTGCCGTCCCGCTCCTCTGTGGTGCACGGGCCCGGCTGGCCGCCTGTTGCCAGGGTGAGCTGCCAGTGGGCTCAGCCGAGGGCCCGGCCGGGAGGGGGGCAGGAAATAGGATGCAACAAGGGGGGGTCTCTCCTGCTCCCCAGCCTCCAGGGGAGCACGCGCCCTCCTTCCTCCTCCTCGTGGTTCCGGGGCCGCTCTGCTCAGGCACCACTCTCCTGGTTTGATCTGTTCCTTCGTGGTTTTCCTGTTACTCATACTTGGGTTACATTAGTACTGACACGTTGCTCCCTAATCTTCCTGTTTTCCCACAGGATTTACTTCCTTCCCGTCACCAGGTCACGGGGGCCTCACTTCGTTCTCTTCCACGGCATTTGCTGGTAGTGGGATGGGCAACTTCAAATCTATATCAACTTCTACTAAAATGGTTAATGGCAGAAAAATCACTACAAAGAGGTACGGTGGCTATTTATACCTTTTAAATAAGTAGGTGTACTGTTTGGTGGGTGCCACATGTCCTTTGCGGTGCGAGCGTGCACACGCACCCTCCGAGTGTAATGTGTAGGGTGTATGTTAAACCTGGCAGCGGTGGGATCTTGACGTCTGAATTAGAGCTTTCCCATTTGAACTGCTGCTTAATACTTCTGTAGCAGAAGTGATCTTTATGTAGAGCGACACTTAAAATGTGTAATAACATAGAAACGCCTGGAAGCTTCGGTTAGCGCTGCTAGAACAGTAACACCATGAACAGTGCGTGTTCACCTGCGTAGTGTTTGAGACGCCGCTCTTACCTGTCAGAAGAAATGTATTCTAAGAAGGAATTGTTGTCAGGTTGCTTTCACCTGTGTTTTTAGTCCTCAAGATCAGTGATTTCATATATGCGAGTGGGAATTACGCTTTTTAAAAATAGGCAGGTACATTCACATGTATTGACTTTAAAAAAAAGGTTTGAAATGCATTTTATCTTTCAGAATTGTGGAGAACGGTGAAGAAAGAGTGGAAGTGGAAGAGAACGGCCAGTTAAAGTCCTTAACGATAAATGGTAAGGAGCAGCTGCTGCGCTTGGATAACAAGTAACAACGCACGCGTGTGGCAGGCGCGTTAGCTGTAACGGGCACCGTTGAGGACTGACAGGAACGCTTTTTTTTTGAAGATTTCAAACGAACTCAACTTTCAGTATAACCGTACCTAATCTAAAGTATTTATACACAGCTCATCGGAGCCCTATTTGTCATAGACTTTTGAGTTTATTGTTGGGACCACATAATAGGACCATTGTTTGGGGGTTTTTTGTTTTTGTTCTTTTTGTTTTGTTTCGTTTTTGTTTTTGTTTTATGTCTTTAAAATTGTTGTAAATCTCTGTATGCACTTTGCTTTTTTATTAAACGTAATCCACGGTGGCCGTGACTCTTTCATAAACTAACACCAGCACGGACCTGCTTTTCCATCGTGCTTGAAACGTGAGCCAAGTAGAGTCAGTCTGCTGTGAAGTTAACATTGCCAGGATGAATCTTCCACAAAAATAATTTCAAGTTTTTTTCAGTATTTAGTAGTGAGAGATATTAATGCATTAATGGTAATACATTTCTCGTTTAATAATAAATTGAGGATGTTTTTCTAGTGTGCATGAATGCTGGCAACTTAGTAAGATTTGACAATTGTTTAAATATGTAATGTTAAGCTTAGGTTTAAAAAAGTAAAGCTGGTAAACTGGGTCTTTGTCATTTGCTTAAAAAAAAAATAATAAATGCGAATGTGTTTGGTGCATTCTTTCCTGAGTGGGGCCTGTAGCCTTCTTGTGTCTGTGTATGATTTTGTACCTGGGCTTCCAGTGTCCCTTCATTCTTGTTGAGTTCTGTTCCTCAAGGTGGACGCCGGTATTGAGTGACCTGTATTCCTTTTTCTCAGTATATTTGCAGGGTTGGTGTCTATTTTCCTATTTGTGTTACATAATGATGAGCAATTTATTGAAGCTTCTCCTATGGTAACATTTTTACGGGGAAGGAAGAAATAGCTATACGACTTTCTCATTCTTTACAAGTAGGTTCTAGTTTTCTAGGGTACGTTTGATGCCAGCTCATTTAAAGATGTGATATGCATGGCAAAGTCATGGGGTGACATAGGTGTGAACAAAAATAAAGCTCTTTTTTGTTTTTTGACGTGTAAAATCACGTTGAAGATCCAGTCACCAGTGACTAGAATTCCAGCCAGAGGGATGTTAAACTGGACGTGGCTTGCATTTGAACAACCCCAATCAGCTTTGTTTTGGGTAAGCATAGGGTCCTGCCAGAAAGACAGGAGGACCTAGGGTGGTTCCTTCATGACAGACAAATTCCTGTCTGTGCAGGCCCAATTAGAAGGCATGTGGAAATTGCCCAGGTACCATAGAGTCTTTACAGAATCAAATGTTTTTGTTGGAAACAAAGAGTATTGTAGAAAATTTCATAGAAACTAAAAACAGTGCAGAATGCAGTGTAAGTTCTTGAAGACAGTTGAACTAAGGGAAGCTGTGAAACGTGCTGTCCTAGCCCTCCAGGCCTGTGGAGAAGAGAAGCCTGTTGTAGGTTCACAAACCAAAATTCTGATACTAGAAAGCCCACTTGGTTTAGGCCGTTAGGATGGATGATTTCTCTGTCATTGAGAAACTGCAGTTGATAACCTGGAACTGAACAGACGTAGAATTTACAGTTGTCATTAAAGGTGGGTGGGATGAACCCTCCCGATAGAGCAGGTTGATGCTCCCGTAGGGGAGCAAGAAGTCCTGTCTACTCCCTTAGTTAGAGCTTCCCGGGAGGCATTGCACTAGACCTGTGGTCTCCCGTTTGGGATCCTTCTGGGGCGGGGGTGTGGGGGGTGGGGGTTGAGACTGTCGGGTGCACGTCCCGCTGTGAACTCTTCCTTTACAATGCAGGATAGAGGCAGAGGTTTCTGACTTCAGAGAGTCCTTCTGCTGAAATTTCTTGGTGGGGAGCATCCCCGTCAAATGTTCTTCATTGGCATTGGGGGAACGTGGCCTTCGTTCTGCACTTGTGTTGTTGATAGGAATGTTCATTTTACAAATTTGTCTGGGGCGGGGGGGTGCGTGTTAAGGAGTCCCTTTTACCCGGAGCCGTGAGGCGTCTTCCCAGCTCTGGCAGCATCGCTCCCATGAGGAATGACGTGCGAGAAGAGCTCATAGTGGACATTGCAGGCTCTGGTCATTTGTTGGTCCCTATGCTTTTCTGTGATTCTGTAGGCTCGGATGCCTTGTGGAAACAGCGGGGTGCCTGCCCCGACGGGCCCACATCCCGTGTGCACCGTCTGTCACGCACTGCGTGTCCTGTCTGCCATGTGCTGCATGTCTCTGTTAAGGGGCAGAAATCCTTACAGTCCTTGAAGAGGACGGGACAGCACACATTTGGGATGTCAGGCTGCTCTTTCCCCTGCATCCCTGTGGTCCCTCAGTTGGTCTGATTGAGTTCGATGGATTTTGCTTCCTTTACGGCTCCAGAGGCTCCAGATGCGAGTTTGGGAACTCAGTAACTTTATGATGAAGACGATGATGATGTTCGTGGCTGCACGAATGGCGATTTGTCCTTCCTCTCTTTTCTTTGAAGTTCTTTCAAGGGCAAATTGTATAGATTTGTAGAGTTAGCTTTAGATTTCCTGAAGTTACTCTTAGAATCTGTGTACCTAGTCTGCTGAAGTCTGTTCCTTACAGAATGGCCAAGCTTGAGGGGGAGATGGCATCTTTCTAGTCAGTGGTCATTTCTGTTTATTATCTTCTAAAGGTTTAAAATTTCTCCTTGATGACCTACCTCCTAGCTATCACTACCCTCTTTCAGGGACTACTCTTCTCATTTTTCTTTGAAGCGCTACCTAATTAGTTTGAAATTTTATTTTCAGAGAATCGAATAGTAGTTTATAATCGGTCTTACTGTCTTTGCTCTTGGATTTCCGTAGTGGCGAAAGTTAACCATCAGCATGTTCAGTAACAGGATGGAGGTAGTAGTAACCATTTCTGGAGGTTTTCAAGCCCAAAATTGCCTAGTAAATTGGAACAGTTGATACTGTGTGGTCAAGAGGGGTTGACTTTTATGACCCAATGGCTTATATTTAAAAAAAAAAAAAATTCTGATACCACCTCAGGTGTTTTTGTGGTCAGTACTTGTGCATTGGGTGGTTAAATGATGCAAGTCCTTCAAGAAACGTTGACTTCCATTTTTCTTCTCCATCCGCATTTCCTGTGTCCTTCCAGCATGTAATGCACCCGCTTTGATTTTTAGGTATTTCTCCCAATCTGGTCATGTGGGTGACTTTCTGTTCTTGCTTCATCCACTGTGAGAATGCTATTCTGTACTCCTTGAGCTGTAGTGATTGCATTAATTAGATGTAGACCTTGGTTTTTAGTATTATTAACAGTTGGGACTGCGATAGGCCAGATGACTTTTGGCTATATTAGTTTCTACATCTTGACATTTGAGAGGGTCAAGGGAGGGGAGGTTATAACAGCTCTTAACCATATCAGTCAGAAATGTGGAAGTCACGGAGATCCAGAGACCAGGACTCGTTGGGACTTTGGAGTCTCACTTGTTAGGGAGAACTGGACGTGGGCATCAAGAGGCCCATCAGCTCGCTGTTTGCCCTCGGGTGGCAAATACTTTCCTCTTGCCTTTGTTGTCAGGCACTCTCACACTACCTGGGTGGGTAAAGTCATTTACTGGGGACTGTCGGTCCTTTTCCTCGTATCTGAGCATTCAGAAAACAGAGGACCTGTTCTGGAGTGCAAGTGTGACGAGTAGAGGCCCTTTGGGGGGCACCACTCACTGAGCTGGTGCTCGAGGAGTAAGCCCAGCATGGCGGTGACTGTCCCTCTCCATTCCTCCTCGTTCACCTGGGAAAGCATCGTGCCCTGCTCCTTCATGCCACGTAATGACCAGGTGTGGCTTGGGAGGGCTTGAGGGTGCATCTTGGTTTACAACACTTCTTTGCTCTTTGGGCCCTGACTAGTAAATGTTCAGTTTCATAGTCTTGTAAACTGCAGTTTATTACATACGGGATTGATGTGTGTCAGGAAAGCGTGTCTCGCCATCATGCCCTTCTCCCCACCCCACCCTCCTCTTACGCTCACTGCTGGGGACTGCATCCTAATACTGCAAGCATTCCACACATGGGTAGTAGATAGAGAACACAGGCCTTTCTTAGCAAGTGGCAGGGAGCCTCGCCGAAGAACCGTGGAACTGGAGATGATGTTGCAGAAGTCGGATTGGCTCCTTTCTGCTGATGCTTTGGGAAAACCACCTTACTCTGGTGTGACCTTCTGCCCTGTGCGTGGACTGAGTGCACAAGCTGGTACAGTGGGGGTGGGTGGATCGTAGCATGTTGGTTAAACTTCAGTCTTTTTGAGTTGGCAGCCCGACACACTGGTGGGAATGGTTGCCTGAGCAGAAGCCTGGTTCCTGGCGCTGTCCCTCCATCCCCGCACACGCACGCGGTGAAATTGCAGTTGTGTGGAGTCTGAAGCCTGTGGGAGGCTTGTTTCTCAGGCGTTTCCTGCATTTTGTTTCTTTCATAATAGAGTTAGATTGTTTTGAGTATTAGTACACCAACATTCCTGTTTGTATATAATTCTTTTTTTTTTTTTTTTTAAAGATTTTATTTATTTATTTGACAGAGAGAGACACAGCGAGAG